CTGGAGTAGTAACAGATTTCCTTTGCTGAAATAAAGTAGCATTAGTGAACTGCAGTGCACTTTTTTTTAAACTCTGTTGAATAACTTCATACTCGGGTATTTTTATTGAGGTATTCCCACTTATCAGGGTTGTTTTTAAACCACAGATCTGTACTTGATGTAAGTATTGTGTGCATGATGTGTTTATTGGTTGGCAAAAAAGGGATAATCCAGCTTCTTAAAAGAGATCTTCATGGAGGAAACTGAAATGCATTACTACTGAGTGAAAGAAGCCAATCTGAACAGGCCATACACTCTGTGATTCCAACTATGCGACATTCTGGAAATGGCCTAAGTATGGGGACAGTAAAGAGATCAGTGGTTGCCAGGGGTTGTGGGAGAGAGGGATGGAGCAGAGAGGGTTTTTAGTAGTGAAACTATCCTGTAAGACACTGCAATGGCAGGTACAGACCATCGCTTGTCAAGTCCCACAGAACACACAACACCAAGAATGAACTGTAAGGTAAACTAGGGGTTTGGGTGACAATGATGTGTCAACGTAGATTCACTGATTGCAGTAAATGTACTACTGTGGTGCAGAGTCCACATGGAGGAGGCTGGTGGGGGAGGGTGCAGGGGTCTATGAGAAATCTGTACTTTCCAAGCAATTTTGCTATGAACATAAAATGGCTTTAAAAAAATAAAGTTTACTAATTATAAAAAAAACCCTTCCTGCTATGGACTGAATTGCACCCCCTCGAAGGCCTATGTTGAAGCCCTAACCTCTGATGTGATGGTATTTGGAGGTGGGGCCTTTGGGAGATAATTAGGTTTCGACGAGGTCATGAGAGTGGGGCTCTCAGGATGGGATTAGCGTCCTCTTAAGAAAAGACACCAGAGAGCTTGCTCACCTACTGTCTCTCCCTCTGCCACAGGGGGACGCAGTAAGGAGGTGACCATCTACAAATCGAGAAGACTGCCCTCACCAGAACCCGACCGTGCCGGCACCTTGATCTCAGGCTCCTGGCCTCCAGAACTGTGAGGAAAGAAAACCCTGTTGCTTAAGCCCCCAGTCCATGGTGTTTTGTTACGGCATCCCAAGCTGACTAACAATTCCATTTTTTAGTTCAATGTATCAAGAGACTCCAGAATAGTTTTTACTTATTTTATAGTTAGAAACTGTCTAAAATAGTCATCTGGAAAAAAAAGACATGAAATAAAGTCTACACTATTACTATGAATTACTAAGACTCACTGTAGTTACCAAGATCTAGACTGAGTATCATTATGAAACATGAAGACTATAACAAACAAACAAAAGACGGCTTCCCCTTTGCGCCCCTCAAAAACCATGGGCTCAAAAAATGTCTGATGACTCACCAGTTAGAACTGAAAACTGAAAAGTCACTCTTACAGATTTTATTCCCAATGTGCCACTAACACGATGTAGATCTTGTTTTTTTATCAGAGAAGACTTAGAAAGCATAATTTGAAGCTACTTGATGATATTGATCTCAGAGCCTGAGAAAGATTTTCTAAAATAACCCATTGTTGATAAAATGATAGATGCCACTAAACCAAATGGCCCCACAGTTAGAAAAGGTTTTTACCAGATATTGAAGGTAATTTCCTGGGCTATACATTAGGACTTTATTTTCTATATAGTAGTTTGTATCTCCTAATCCCAAACTCCTCATTTATCCCTCCCCTTCCCACTTTCCCCTCTGGTAACCATAAGTTGGTTTTCTATGTCTGTAAGTCTTTTTCTGTTTTGTAAGTAAGTTCCTTTGTATCATTTTTTTTAGATTCCACCTATAAGTGATATGATATTTGTCTGTCTCTTTGTGACTTACATCATTTAATTTGATAATCTCTAGGTCCATCCATGTTCCTGCAAATGGCATTATTTCATCTTTTTTATGGCTGAGTAGTATCCTATTGTGTGTGTGTATGTATATACATATATACATACACACACACAGTTTCTTCTTTATCCAACCATCTGTTGATGGACATTTAGGTTGTTTCCATGTCTTGACTATCGTAAATAGTGCTGCTGTGAACACTGGGGTATATGCATCCTTTCGAATTAGTTTTTGTCTTTTCTGGATATTTGCCCAGGAGTGGGATTGCTGGATCATACAGTAAATCTATTTTTAGTTTCTTAAGGGATCTCCATACTGTTTTCCATAGTGTCTGCACCAATTTACATTCCCATCAACAGCGTAGGAGGGTTCCCGTTTCTCTACACCCTCTCTAGCATTTATTGTTTGTGGACCTTTTAATGATGGCCATTCTGACTGGTGTGAGGTGATACCTCATTGTAGTTTTTTAAAAATTTATTTTTATTTTTTTTATTGAAGTATAGTCAGTTTACAACGTTTTGTAAATTTCTGGTGTACAGCATAATATTTCAGTCATACATGTACATACATACATTCCTTTTCATATTCTTTTCCATTTTGGTTACTGCAAGATATTGAATACAGTTTCCCTGCACTACACAGTAGAAACTTACTGTTTATCTATTTTATATATAGTAGCTCCTCATTGTAGTTTTGATTTGCATTTCTCTGATATTTAGTGATGTTGAGCATCTTTTCCTGTGCCTACTGGCCATCTGTACACACACATGCATTTTGAACGGAAACATTCAAATCTAATTTTTCAATAACTGAAACAGAATTTGGGCTACCAACGTTTATCTTACAATGAAACCAACCTCAAGGTCCTCAGAGAGGAGAGCAGAGTGGGTTGCTTTTTGAGCCATTTCCTGAAGCTGTAGCTGAGTCTTTTGAAGAGCAGTTTGACATTCAATCTGGTTAGATTCAAGGGTTTTTACTTTCTTTGTGAGTGACCTGATTATTTCAGTTCTTTTATGTAGTTCACCTGAGGGAAATGTCATCAATAACTTATTTGTGGTCAGATCTGAAGCTGAAAATGAATTATTTTCAAACACAAGGTTAAAAAAGTGTGCCAAAGAATTTTTTAAAGGATAATTCTTCTTTTAAAAGTTTTTACTTCAAAATGCATGCTACCATACCCTAGTCAAGAAACCGAACACTATTAGCAGTCCAGAAGTCCCTCTATGTCAAATCCTGAACAGTCTCTCCAACTTCCCACCTTCCCAACCAGCGTCCTGACCTTAGTCATTTCCTTGTTTTTTATTATCATTTTACTACCTATGACCACATCCCTAAAAATAGTTTAATTTGAACCATATGTAAATGGAATTGTACTCTATGAATTCTTCTGCTTGCTTTTTCTCCCCTTAAGATTATGATCCTGAGATGTGTCCATGTGGCTGTGGGCATCTCTCCTTTGTGCTCTGTCATCATTACTTAATATCTCACTATATGATTATGCCAAAATCTATACATTCCACTATTGATGGTCATTTGAACCGTTTCCACTTCGCAGCTATTCTGAACAGTGTTGCTCTTAATACTCTTGTACATGCATTTCTGTAAGAGTTTCTCTAGAGCCCTGACACTCAAAATGTGGCCCTTGGACCAGCAGCACTGACATCACCTGGGAACTTGTTAGAAATGCAGACTCTTAGGCCCCAGACCTACTGCATGTATCACAATCTACACATTAACAAGACCCTTAGGTAATTCATGTGTATACCGAAGTGTGAGCATGCTTCCTAGAAGTGGAAACACTGGCCCCAAACTATGTGTATCTTCAGCTTTACAAGAATTGTCAAATAATTTTCCAGAGTAGATGGACCAACTGACACTCCCACCAGCAGTGAATGAGCCTTCTCTTGTGCCACACTTCTACCAATACCTGATGTTTTTGGCCAGCCTGGTAAGTGTAAAAAGGTCTCATTATGGTTTTAATTTGCATTTCCCTAATTACTAATGAGAACAAGAAGCTTTCTGTATATTTATTGGCCATTCAATTTTCCATGAAATGCCTATTCAAGTGTCTTACTCATTTTAAAACCAGATTCCGATGGCTATGCAGGCAGACTGCAGAGATACTGTGGTTCAGTTCCAGACGACTGCAATAAAACAAGTATCACAATAAAGCAAGTCACACAGGCTTCTTGGTCTCCCAGTGCATATGAAATTTATGTTTTCAGTACTTGTTGTGTGCAACAACATTATATCTAAAACACAATGTACATACCTTAACTTGAGAATACTTGATTGCTAGGAAGTGCTAACCATCATCTGAGCCTTCAGTGAGTCATAGTAGTAACATCAAAGATGCCTGATCACACATCACCATACCAAATACAATAATAATGGAAAAGGTAGAAATATTGTGAGATTACCAAAATGCGACCCAGAGACACAAAATGAGCAAATGCTGTTGGAAAAATGGCATTGATCGACTTGCTCAGTGCAGGGTTGCCACAAACCCTCAATTTCTATAAAAAGTCTTATCTGCAAAGCACAATAAAACAAGGTATGCTTGTATATAATCTGTTAGCTTTGTTCTTTACCATGTCTATAAAAGAGATGTTAATTATATAATATTATCGTCCTTCTAACATACAATCAAATTAAACACTGTGTTTCTGTATATATACACGTGGGTGGGTATGGTCAGAGTAAAATCAGATGGTGATCGAAGAAATGGAAAAGTGACATACATTGAGACTGTCACGTTTACAGAAGCCTTTGTGTAATGTAAGTAAAAAAGGAGGGCTCTATGGTTATCTTTCCACTAAACAGACCTAGTATTTTCCCCTCTAGTACATTCTAGTATTCGTGTAGTGCCAACAGAACACTCAGACTTTAGGGCAGCACCAAAGAGATGATAGATAAAATATGGTAAAGGAAATTTCTGCAAACCATTTTTGAGGCTGCTGTAATGCTAAAAGATGACTGTTTTAGGCACTTAAGACCAGGTTCAGCACCAAAAGTTTAAAATCTCTGGGTTAAGTCCAAGAGAAATGGCTAGCCCCGTGGCATCTTTATTCAGATTCGTGGCTCAAAACTCAAATCCTTCAGGTTACTTTTGCCACCCCATGGTGATCAGAACTCTCCCTAGCACTCTTTCTGCAGTTAAGTACTCTGTGTGCTCCACTTTCATGCACATTGTGTTTGTCTGATCCGTCATGAGTGTTCCTGAAGCCCCCCAATCTTCAATGACACTAAACTCCAGGACGGCAGGGGCTGCTTTGAGATGTCCCTTCTCTATCCTCCCCGCGAGCCCTTTTAATGTGCTGGCAGGTACAAGTGTGTGGTGTCTAATTTGCAGGTGCCTGACCTTCTAGTTTGCTGCAACGTTCTTCCAAAGTCAACACTTTCTGCCGATCCTCTTCCCATGAAAGAAGTTGTCTCTGATGTACCGCGACCATATCATTGAGCTCTTTGTCCCGATCTTTTAATTCTCCAATGAGCAGCTGCAGCTCTTTCCGTTGTTTCTCGATAGTGGAAATCTCAACTTCTGACCCGATGTTCTAAACACAGAAAGGTGGCTTGAAGTCAAAATAAAATTCATCAGCATAAATCAGCCAAAGCATATTTCCCAAACAATCACGTCTTCTTTTGCTGGCAATTCAAGGTGGTAACACCAACTACGTTTCATTCACTGATTGTAACATGGCCATCAAAATTATACATACTGAGAACAAGTTCACGCCTACTGGGCACTCTACCTCTATTGTGTTCTGTGGCACCACACACACTACTCCTAAAAAGTGGGGCCATTTGCAAAACCTTCACTGTTCAACCACAAATAAACCCATTTCTGCATTTTTTCTTTGCAGTCAACCCCTTCCTTTTATCAGTCAATAATATTATCCCTCAGTTGACCCCAGCAATTGTAGAGCAATTGAAAGCAAGGGAAACACAAAATAATTACTGTTTAAATGTAAACAGTTCTCCTAACATCTAACTCATCTGGACACACTCAACCTACCAAAAACAATTTAATATTGTGACTGGTCCAAACTTAACATATCTACTAAAAAACAAATTTGTAAAGGAAAAATTTCAGATATACACAGAAGACAGGAGAACAGTACAATAAACTCTCATTAACCACTATCAAGATTTTGCTATATCTGTTTCAATTTTCCTTTTTCTTTTGATAAAAGAAATTGATAAAAAATACATTTCACTCTTAGACACTCCAGTATGCATCGCTAAAAGTAAACATTTTTATATAACGATGCCATCTTCATGCCCAACAAAACTACCTATAATAATTCCTTTTAAGCATACATCATTTTAAAATCTGGTGCAGTGAAGCTGGTCTGACCAAAGTGGGAATCTAGAATTAGCCACTCAGTGGCTCTAAGACCTTAGGCAAGTTACTTAACTTCCTTAAGCCTTGGTTTCCTTGCCTGTAAAATGGTAACAACAGCATTTTAACTTCTTAGAGTTGTGTGGCCTAAGCAAGATAAGCTTTGTAAAGCACTTCACAGTACTTGGCACCACAGTAAGTTTGGTAAAAAGTTAATAAATTGTCAATCTAAGAAAGAATGGAAATTTTTATTCCAGCCAACCTAAGGATTATAACCTGGGACACAGTCTTTCAAAAAGCTCTGAGGGCTGTTCTGCCCATAAGAGGTCAAAGCACAGTTACATGTGTTTTCAAGATAAAGGGTCAAAATGCCATGTTGACCTTTACGCAGTCAGATCTGCACATACAGGTGAGTAGTGGGTATTCACGATCCCTTACAGGATTGAGAAAGGAATGTTATCTCCTAAAACGTAATCTTGGCGGCACCAGGAGAAAATTGCCTTTTTTTTTTTTTTTTTTTGGAAAGCAGGCATTCCTATGTCTTCTAGAGGGATCTAGTTAAGGTATAATGCAGACGCAAAAAGCACACTAACGGAGAGGAGGTAGTGGCTCAAACGGCAGAGAATATTTTATGTTAAATTTTTCTTGCCCTGCCTTAAAGTAATTTTTCACCATAAGCTATCAAAAAACATTAGCTATTATTATTATTATTTTATTATATTAAGAGTGTAAGTCACATTCCGAAGTATGGTACTGTCCCCATCTATGAAATAAACTAAAAACAAGCTGAATCACTAAGCTGTACATCTGAAACTAATGCAATATTTAAATCAACTATACTTCAATTAAAAAATAACACTAAAAGTGTTACTTTAAGAATTCCATCCTAAAGACAGTAGTTTAAAGTTCACCAGAGGCTCATGTACACATTATTACTGCTTTCTGAAAAAATAAGATTTGTCAATAATGACCAGTGAATCACTGCTAATTACTAGTACTAGTCACTAAACACAGAACATGGAATTTGATACCATATATCACTCATATCTGGAATCTAAACACACACACACACACACACGAACTTACATATAAACCAGAAACAGACTCACAAACATAGAAAACAAACTTATGGTTACTGGGGTGGGGGAGAGGGTGGGAAGGGATAAATCTGGAGTTCCAGATTTGCAGATACTGACTGGCATAGATAAAACAGATAAACAAGTTTATACCATATAGCACAAGGAACTATATTCGATATCTTGTAGTAGCTCACGGTGAAAAGAACATGAAAATGAATATATGTATATTCATGTTTGACTGAAGCATTGTGGTGTACACAGAGGCCGACACATTATAAACTGACTGTACTTCAATTAAAAAAAAAGAAAACGGAATTTGAAGTCGACAGATTCCAAGTGTCAAGACTTGAATTCCAGTCTTTGGGAAAGCCAAGTCATTCACTCAACCAAGTGGCTGGGGAGACAGCAATGAGACCGCCGGGAAGGAGCACATATTCTAATGTAGGAAAACAAGCAAAGGGCCAAAAATACAAAACACGTTCCTCTCATCCTATACCGATAAATGCAAATCTTGGGCAACTTTACTTTCAAGACTTCTCGGTAAAACTACTTATTAGAGAGCTCCTCCACTCGCAGGTCACTGGGACGCGAATTAAAGACAGGACGAGAGGTGGGGAGCGGCTCTACAAATACCCATCCTTATCGTTAAAAAGGGAGCACCCAGGACTCGCCACTCGACTTGGCGCCGGGGCTGAACAGCAAGTTTTTATTAAGGTAAAGGAAACGGATGTGACGCTCCATTTCTCCTCGCCGTCCTGGGGATTGTTTTAAATTCTGAGCAGAAACAGTTCCTGAAAAACCAGCCGCGTTCGGCCCCAGTGCACGTCGCCCCGGAGGTCTGCGCTCCTCCCGCCCCGGGACGCGCCGGCGGACACGGCGAGCCCGCGGCGGGCGGGGGGCGCGGGGCGGCGGCCGCTCACCTGGCGCCCGGCCAGGAAGGAGGCCGAAGGGTTCATAGGTGTTTCCTCCGCCCCCGGAGAGAGCCGGTGTGCGCAGCGTCACCTCAGAAACGCCATCGGCGCGCCTGCCCGGAGCGGCGGGGCGAGCCCCGAGCCCCGGAGCCCCGCGCCCTCGCCGGCCCAAGCAAGCCCGCCCAAACCGCCGGCCCAGCGGAGCGCGCCCGGCCCGCCCGGCCTACGGCGTCGCCGAGGGGCCGCCCCGGCTCTCGCGACACCCCGGCGGCTCTCGCGACACCCCCGCGGCCGCGCGACCACCCGCTCCGTTTCCCTGCTCCCCTCGGCGTTTTGTTCTTGCAGATCCCAGCCGCGGGCTCTCGAATGGTTGGTCTGGCGCTGAGAAAGCCATTGCCCTCCGTCGGCAAAGAACCGGTTCTTTACCGTCACCCAGAGATGAAGAAGCCAAGGGACGGCTGTAGAACCGTTCTTTACCGTCACCCAGGTTTACCACGAGTTGCTCGCTGAATGATTTCCGTCTTTCCCTCCTGAACTGCGGGCTCGGTCTCGTTAGCTGCTGTGTACACCCTTACTGAGAACGGGACCTGGCGTGCAGACAGCAAACAGATGGGGGTAGACGCCAGCCCTGGCCGTCCCAGCAGACAGCTCTAAAGTAGGAATCAGATAAAAAGGGGGGGAGGGGGAAATTGGCGGCGGGGGGACTCCTGATGTAGCTCTTGCACAAGCTTGAACAAGCTCTTGGCGCTTCATTCTGGGTTAATCTAAGCTTGTTTCACGTGTTGTTTCATAGTCACTCTTTTACTCGTTATATGGGAACTGAACTGGACCATGAAAAGATGCTTATCACACTTAATCCCTGTTCGCCCAGCCCCTACTGCTTAACCCCTCAGAAGGCATTCCTGCTGAGAAAAATAGCCACTCTTAACGATATTTCAACTTTACACTTTGGTTGACTGTGAATTAGCAAAACATGCCCCTGTGTTCATAAGGGACAATCTGATAATGGATAAACAAAATTTCTTACTTCGAAATTTTACTGATTTGAGTGACACTTACCTCCTTAGCATAGGCTTATGTTCAGGAACACTGGCAAGACAATGCCTTAGAATTTAAAATCAAGAAAGCAAATGTTGACTAAAATTTGTTGTTAAAAACAGGCTATCAGTAGATGACTATGCAGGAAGTCTTGGTGGAATGAGACAGATGAAAAGGAATGTGGTTCAATTTCAATATTCCAATTGAGGAGCATTTTTATTCATACACTTCTCAAATTTCACCTTTGTAAAATTTGGTATTTTTCTAAGAAGCCCTAAAATGCCATTGTTCACCAGGCAACCACATGCCTACCACTCAATGTAAAAGTACAAGTACAGAAAGAAATGAGCCTCATTTTATGAGATTATGGTTGGTAAATATTAAATATGGTAAAAGGATTATTATGACTAGTTGCAAATCAAAAAAAACTCAGTATTTTAAGTTCACTCCCATAGATTTTTAAAATAAAAAATCTTTAAAGAGAAAATGTAACTTAAAAAATGACATAAAATGATGTTTTATGAAAGCTTCAAGAATTACACTGCATCTGATTTTACATTCAGTCTAATTCAAACTGATGAACAGACTTATTTCCTTACCTTATTTCCTAAGTAAAGGAATTTAGTAAATTCTAACAAAGAATCTAAAATGTAGAGTTTGTCTTTAAAATATTAATTTTTAAAAACATTTTTTGGGGGTAATTAGATTTAATTTTGGAGGAGGTACTGGGGATTGAACCCCCATGCAGTTCTACCACTTAAGCTATACCCTCCCCCCTAGGATAGTAATTTATCAACCTTTTTAACTAAGAACAAGAAAGCTGCCATGGATTATACCTTAAGTGACAACTGATTACTGAGTCTTCTATGTAATAACTAAAAAGAAATTTAAAATCACATATTGCCAGCATGTTTTTTTAAATGAATAAAATGCTACATATCAAAACTGTATTTGCATTTGAAGTTGCCAGCTTAATCATGGCAAATTTCTTACATATTATGAGATTAGGCTGTTTAAAGGTTTTTTTTTTTTGCTAAAGATTCTAGATTGTGAAAACAATACAAACATACACAGAATGTATGAATTAAAGTCAATCCTTGAACTATTCATATATTTTAATCAAATATTAGACTGTTGCATTTTAAATTTCAGGTTAAAGAAAAACATTCACACATATTATACACAAGGACAATTTTAATCCTGCATTTTCCTGCAGTAACATCCACTGTTGGCTATACATGGATTGAAACTGCATTTGCCAAGAACTGTGAACATTAAGACTCTTTACATGAAGTCACGTGTTGATACAAGCACATAGACATCTTCCAGCACCAACAGAATACATACGTAACACACCAAATGGTCTTGATGGATAAATTTGCTTCATCATATAATTTTATCTAGTTAAGTTTACAGTTAATGCAGAATTTCATTTTAATTTATACCTTTATTACACATTCTAAGATTTTAATTATTTTAAAAAACCCACTGGCTCATTCAAGATTGTAATTTGCATGGCAACAAACAATGGGTTCTAAATTTCTTAAAGGTGTCTTCCTTTCAATTTGTAGCACCTGACTTAAAACCTTTATAAAAACAAAGTTTAAATTCATGTAATGCATTCATTAAAATTCACTGTCACTGTTTCTCTTGTGAGAAAAACATGTTTCAATTGCTGCTTCCCAGACTATATATTGAGCAATGGTGTATATTATTTTCAATTGGTTAGCAGAATTTTACTCACATAAATTTATAGCCAGAACAAGAACAACTCATCCTCTCTGAATGGCCTTCCACTTAAAACAGTGTTGGTAGTAATGTGTAAAATGGATTTGAGGGTCTGACCTCCTACTTAATATTATCAAACATGCTCCCAAGTATTCTTGGAAAATATTTTCAAATATGTGCAAATATTCTACCACATGACACACTACCATTTCTTTAACCATTTCCCCATTGTTCATTCAAATCATTTGCAACTGTTTGCTATTTGGAGTAGCATTGTGATGAACACCCTCATCCAGTTTTAAGCAAGACATTACATCTTTAGGATTAATGTCAAAGAAGTGGGTCCAAAAGTGAGATGGTTTTAAGGCTTTTAATATACTTTACCAAATAATCTCCAGAGTAGCTTTAACAACTATTAGCAACAATATGTTAGTACGCCCACAAGGTGAACTTGGTGACAATGAAGCAAATTCAACCACAGATCTATTAGATGCTTAAGCATCTCAAAACTATCACACCAAAGAAGCAAGGAGACAGTTATTACTGGTGATGAAGCCAAATTCAATTTCTTTAAAATATTAATCAGCTTCAAAAATCATGATTTGACTAAATCATGATTATTTGTAAACTAATCAACAGAAAAGCTATCCACAGAAAGTCTACAGTGTTTTTCCAAAAATAAAAAGTTAAAAAGAAAGAGAAAAGTCAGTACCAAATGACCAAAAATTTTTATTTAACTAAATTCTATTTCATGCATAAGCATGACAGTCTCCCCTGTTTATTAGACTTTGGCAATTAAAAAAAAAAAGCAGCCTTATACACAACAGTGAAAATGGCAAGGGGGAGGGTAGGCTACAGTTTTACTGTAGGATAAATATATATATTTTTAAAAGGCCTCTCTCCCTTTGGCCATGTCAACAATCAGTTCAGACCATTAAATACAAATTTTCAAAATCACTTCTTCACTTCTCCAAGATCTTCGATGCTATCATCATCCACCTACAAAACACAAAACAATTACATTTCATGAGTTCTGGTATCAACTGACACAGAAGCAACTTGCTTTAAGAACTTGTTACTACAAACACACAGATACTCACCTCTGGCCATTTTTCCTGAATGACATCAATTATGTCATCTGTAAAGTCTCCCTGAATGATGATTTCATCCTCCCCTGTTACTGAGGCACCACAGGAGAATTTCTGAGCAAAAAATCTTTGTGCTTCTTTAAGATCAATTTCTGTTATTTAAAAAAAAAGAAACAACATGACTATAATTGGAATCATACGTCAAAGGTATTTTTCCATCTTGAAATTAAATCTGCATTTTAAGTTCATAAAACAGGTTGTGTTAATGGATTTCATGTTCCGCTCAGAACAATAAACTACCCAAAGCCAGTGATCTTAACAATAATTCAGCTTATATTTTCAAGGTCAAAAACCTCAGTACATAAAAATAAGACCATCCATACTACCTATAATTCATAGATACAGTTAAGACCAAATTAAATCCAGGAATACATTAATTCCAACATTACACATTCACTTCCAAGTACATGAAGTTCTTGTATCCTTTTTTACAAAAGAAAAATTTACAGCAGAGAAACAAGCCTAATATTTATGATGTGGTTTTTCAGTGACTGTTTTTCAGTCCATGTTGTCAAATGAAGGAGCCATGCACCCTGGTTTCACTATTCATTCAAGACTTCGAGGAACTAAAGGGGCCCTGAAGCAGGACATTCTGCCACTACCCACCTTCCCTCACCCTCTGCTGTCATCCCTGAGGGGAAAGGTTATTTTGCAACCCTCTGGCCTCTGGGCCTACAAGGACAGAGCAGCAGCACTGGTGGACTTCAAAGGGAAACCTGTCTAGCCCTCCTCGTTCTACATAAAGTGTGCCCAACCAGATATTCTGGAAACGAAAAGGTTAAACCAGTCCCCCTGCAAAAGATTTTTAAGCTGCTTCAAAATTTGATTTTGAAGCTATAGTTAGAAATGGAACCTCTTAACAAAAAACAGAACTGTTAAAGTTTTCATGATACTAGATTTAAAAAAAAGAGGATGGATGGATGAATGAATGAATATAATTCACACACTTTAAACATACTTAGGCTTAGACTCACCAAAAGTTGCAAGGCCACACACTCTTGTTACGTATTTCTTCTTTGCTCTGGGAATTTTGGCTATTGTAACCTTCTGGGGTACAGTCTTCTTTTTTTGCTTTATTTGACCTCTTCCACCTTATTTATTAGGAAAGAGCTCAGGATTAGCTGTTTTGTTTGTAACACACACAGAGAATACTGTCTTTAAATGTATTCATTTTCAAAAGGTACCAAATATTAATTTCTAAATTTTCTTTTTCTAATACAAAATTAATAAATACATGCAAGAGTATTCACTCAATCCACACCTACGAGTAGTGTGTGCACTGAGGGCTGAGGACACAAAGATAAACAGAAAAAGAACATAGTCCCTGCCCTCCAGGGACTCTCAGTCTAGGGCAGAGAGATAAAGAGTTAAATAACTACAGCATCTGATACATCCTGTAAGAGGATCCATGGATACAGCACTACCAGAGCTTTGCAGAGGAATGGCCTCCTCTGCTTGCAGAGGGCAGGAAAAGTTTCCCAGAAGAAGT